TATATATATATATATATAGATATATAGACTGGAGTACATTTGCAAATTATTACAAATAAATATGTCATGAAGATAAAGAGGGATTTTATGGCAAAATTGAAAACCAGGAATGACATTCCCACATACATTTTTCAAAATTTAGAACTTTCCCTGGAAAATATGTTTGACAGCTAAGCAGAAATTGTGTTTTTGGATAGATTTGCACCTAACAGCAAGGGCATTCTTACAGTATTAAGAAACCTGAGGCACCCCTGTGACAGGGTTGTCAAAGTATCTATTAAATATATGATCATTGCTCCTATCTGTTATGTCTGCTGATAGGAGCAAGGTGCCTCTGTCTCTAAATTATGCACTGTGTATGCACAGTTTGACTGGTACATCTTGCTTAGTGTTGTGGTGACTTTTTGTGTTGGCTCCACTACAGTAGGGTGAAACAAAGAGGGAACAAAAAGTGCAGAAGAGGCAGCAGACTCCAGCAAAGTGGGGTCATCAGGAGATCAGGCAGGGGAAGATGCAAGGAGGACACAATTCAGAGTGAGTGACCCCCAAAACACTGTAGCAGTCAGAATCAATTAAATGGTCTGGCAGAGAGGCAGTGACTAAGCATGTGGAAAGCATGGTGAAGAGGTTTTAAGTCCCTTACTGCAGTCAGAAAAGGACAGAGGGAAACTAGTCAAGTTAACAGCAACTCCTCACCAACTGGCCTGCTGCTGCTACTTCCTGCCTGAGAATCCAAGTATTAGAAGTACTTTGAATAACACCTGCTGCTACTCTCTGTGACAGCTGGTTTTGGCCTTGTATTTTTAACTTTAGAATTGACAAGTTTACACACAGTCACCAAAATCCAGAAGTTGACAGAGAGAGTTATAGTCACTGACTCTGAATATGTAATAAATGAATACCATGCCCTTGCCTACTTACCAGAGTGAGAGGAAGCATGGTACCACAGTACCCTATTTCCCCAATAATCTAGTCTAATTCAACCACATTTATGAACATGAATACTGAGCCTTTGCACTTTACAGTCATCACAAGTAAAAGAGCTGACACTCTATTTGGGTATAAGGGACAGAGGGTAGAAGAGCTTGCAATTTATTACGCCATATCTTGGCATGCCTTGGTAGATTGTAAGCTATTTTACTTTCTGTTTCTTAATGCAAAACTTTACCCCAAAAGCAACTTTACATTATAAGTGAAATCTTATACTCTCACTGAATTGTGAGGGAGTAGTTTATTT